CGCAAGATAAATTTGGAGCACTCTGGGTGCCCATTGCAAATCCTGTAGTTTGGACACCTTATCGGAATGGCAGTAGCTAGAACAGGTCCAAAATTGGTAACTACCGGAAAAATTGGTAGATTTGGGCAGCCCTGTAACAGTAGTCATGCCATGCAAAGGGAGCTGGAAAGTAGTCATGAAATATCACACTGTAAATCATTTTAAAAACCGGGAGCCCAGAAAAAGAAAAAGGTAGAAGAAGCGTAATTTTGGTATACATTGTGTATCTGATGTCGATACAGACTGTACTGTAGCTACTTTTGTTGTGGTTTGTACTATTATAGGCTTATGGGGTTTATTTTTTTTATTTGATTTTTTTTTTATTGTTTTTTTTTAGTATTTTAGCTAAAAGGCTAGACCTATGCGGTAAGAGCACCTGTGAAAAAAAAAGCACTTAGCGTTTATTTCCCCATGTGAAAAATACGGCTGCCTAATTTAAAATGATGCAGGATGATGGTCTGTAACCAACTTAAAAAAGAAAATGCTTTCTTACATAAGTTACTGGACAGATGTGGTTGAGACTTGCCCAAATCTGCGTGATTCAACTGCCTAACCGACAGTATGACGGCGTCTAGGCGTTAGAATCACGTTAATCAACGTCACTGGGCGAGCGCTAATAGTCGCTTGGGCGTTTGAGTTATTGACAAAAGCTAATCATAATAATTTTAAGAGTAATTATAAAGCCATTCCATTCTTGTTTCTGTTATTTTTGCGCAAACATAATTTTTGAAAATGAAGTGAGTAGTATTTTAATTTTAAGTTTAAAAAATATAGTTAAAGTTTATTGCTTGAAAACAGTGCATACATTGTTAATTTGAAATTAACTGTTTATCCTTCTTAACTTTGATTGTCTTTTATGAGTTAATATAATTAATGTTTAAAGATACCAAAATAAGTTATAAAGACATTTTTTCATGAATCTTTTGTGCAAAAATTTTCATTTTTTCATGTTCGGGCAGTCATGAGGCTTGCACAGCATCTGTTTTCGTTGAATCCGAGTTCCTTTGTTATAGGCCTGTATACATTTTTTCCCCTCTTTATTTGAAGTGAGGATAACCAACTTTCGAAAACCATTGTCACCAGAAGAACGTTTGATCATCAAACTAAAGTATGAAATTTTACCTGCAATTCACCCATTAAGGCCTACACACCATCAGGGTTGGTGCTAGCAAGGTGCGAGAAATATTTAGTGCTGCCGTAAAATATCTCGCCCCAACATTTTTTATTTTTTGGTGCTTGCATGGTGAAACTTTCTCTGAAAGGGCGGGGCGAGGCTGGTGAGTCTACTCTAGCGCCGGCAACGCATTTCCTGTAGATCAAATTAACCTTTCATTTAATTGGTGCGAGCAAGGGTGCTGGTGAGGGAAAAGTGACTCTACTCTGTACGTTTATGTACCTTACCGTGGCATGCAAAAGATGAGAGTTCGATTCCTGAGTTGGGAGAACACTTGCTTAGTATGATCTTCGTCTGTCTGTTGGAAAATTGTATTCCTCTCAGCCCGGGATGGCCCAGACAGACAGGGTTGAAGCAGCCTGCCTCCTAATGATCTTAATTTTAGAATGTTCCTAGGCCGTTGTTTGATTTGTCTCAGGATCAGCTTGTTGTTTGGTATTTTTCTTTGACCATGTGTTAAAAGAGTAAGATTTTTGTCCTCTGCTTTTCCATTTTTGCTAAAACAAAATAAATGACTGAAGCAATAAATTAAAGGTATTGTTGTACCCCACAATCCTATGATGTGTTCACGCTGTGAATTACTGTTTGGTAAATTGATGTTTTAATTTTGTTTGTTTCATTATTTCATATATCTCTTTTTCTTTCCCAGAAAAGTAGTGGCGGTATTTCATTTATGCCATGTCTCTGTATAGTCCGCTTATATTATATCCACATGCTGTGGGAAGTGGATTTTGATGTCGATATATACAAATGTCGATAAAAGAATATAAAAGCAAAAAAAAAAGGGGAAAAACAAGGGGAGGTCAGTGGTAAAAAGACAACACCTCTTTTTAAGCAGGTTGCTTCCCTTGATTATAATAACCAATTACACACTGAAAGTAACATACAAGAGGCAGAGGGGAGG